ATATCATAAACGCGTCATCAACACGTCATACATGACATCACACCTACATCACTCCTTTACCATTAGTAGTAGTACCTCGCACTGCTTGGTCTGTGCGCACACAGTCGTTACCATATTAGTTAGTCTGTTTGGCTCGACCAAACACCATGTACTTGTATATAGTCTGAGCAATTCACGCCCCAAGACTCTAAGTGAGTTCTTGTGGGATTCCCTCCTAAAAGTCCTTCGCCTAGTCTTGCCACATTGGCGAGCAGCCTATACTCCTCATCCCCAACTCTCCCTCTTGGCGTTGTCCTGTATAGGGCTTCGTCGTCTACTTCTTTGTGTGGTTTTTGAGTGTAGTTGGTTTCTGGGGCTTGCGCCTTAGGAGTCGCTCACACAAGCACTGATACCATTATACCACGGAGGACAATATTTGCTTTGTACAGCTCACCTTTATAAAGAGCCCACCCTCACCACAGCTTTTGTTCACTCCACCCTCTGTTACTCATCCCAACTTATACTGTACATCTAACAGTTGAAACTTAATTAAGCTGACAGCATTGCTTACTTGTGTTATCCCAGTATCACACTATAATGGGCCAAGTGTGTGCTTTGCCAGCCTTGTTCTTGAAGCAAGGTTTTTTTTCAATAGGAAAGTCTAAAATAACTAGTTACAACCTCAACATTTGTACAACTAATTTGTGTCAACATAGTCTAGTTGGTAATGTGTGTATTTTTGCTGTTCTATTGACAAGGCCACCAGTTTGAGTCTCAGTTGGTGCATCTGCTTTATTGTTGCTCATCACAGCTTTAAGGTGTGGAAACTCCCATAAATAAATACACCTTACCACCATTAATGTTTCTGAAATTTGCTAATGAATTTGCACTCCAATGCATCACCACCTTGTGGCTTTGAGGCTTTGCTTGCAGTCATTGGTGAGTGTGCTTGAGAGCTTAAATTTCATTGGAATATCCTGTGGAGATTGAAAACTGGTATGTATTTGGCTAGAGCCTCCTATTTTACAAGATGTCCCTCAATCTCTGATTTAGCATTGCACTACCCAGCAACCTTGCACACAGACCAGATAGTGTGTAGGAGTCTGGGTAATGGTGTAGTTTAGAAGGTTGTTCATGGTCAGTAACCATATTCAAGGCCATGATAAATCTTATCCTTCATTTCCCACTTTTACTCAATGCATTTGTACTCAGAGGAAAATGTAGATGCCATCACCAAGAGGCGTGCATTACGCAAAACAAAACATCAACTAATTTTTGGAGCCATTGCATATAGCAGGTGGCTTCTCAGGTGCTCCACTTTTGCAAGTTTCCCATAATCAATGCTAGAAAGTGCACAAGTCATTTTTCATCATCTAAACTATAACTGTAATGTACATGGGGTTGTGGTAATAAATGTGAATCTATCACAATATGTAATCTAATTGTTATGTTGTTACCCAAAAAAATGAACCCAAGTGGCATCAAGGTATTGAGGCCCAAAATGTCAATTGCATGTGATCCAGACACAATCATAGTAAACAATATCAACCACCTTCTTTGCATTCCTTGCTGCACCACCCCATCAGCAGGTGTCATCTACTCCTCTCTTTGTCCATCCACCCTTCAACACCCCTTTCAAAACCCAAAACCTTCCCCAATCCATTCAAAACACTCAATATGAGGTATGTAAACATGATTTTTATTGATCAGCCACTCATACATGGATATAGCAACATCCCACCATCTGAACACTGGAACAACTGGTTCAACATTGGCCAGGTCCATCCAACTCCATTGATGCCTGGTTACAAATATCTGAGGTATGTATCTCTCTTCAAATGAGTTTTGATAACCAAAACTTACGCATATATCTGCTTTCAGCAATGTTCATTCCAACTACCATCCCTGGTTTAATGTCAGGCCCATTTTCTCAAACAAGCACACCAACTTCATCCCTGATGCACCTGACCACCAATCTGAGGGATCAGATGACTTGCGCAGTGACCAGGATGCAGAGGTCCTCACTGAGCCTGAATTAGGCTCTGACAATGACGTGCCAGACCCAGCACGCATGCTTGCTGTCAACACCAACAAGGCCAATCTCTGGCTACACCAAAACAGGCACCTCAAAGACAGGCTCAGCACTTGTTGCCAGTAGCTGCAGTGCCCCAAGTGTCTTGAGTGGATACAGACAAGCCTGGGTCTGTTGCACTCAGAAATTTCCATCCGCTCACCCAGCACCAAGGCAGTTGAAGCTGCCACCCTAGTCCTTGCACTTGCACCTCCGAGTTGACCCTGCAGCATTCCATTGGGTCACTGTCAGCCAGTCACACCCTCTCCACAATACACATCAGCCAGTTTTCATCACTGGCCTCACTCTTGTCTACCACCAGCTTGGCCTCAAGCTCCCTCATTCTCTGCCTTCCTGGTCCACCACCACCTCTTCCAGATGGCTGCCAAGGTTGTCCCATATCTTGGGATGTCCCTGGTGGCTCATTCCTTGAAACCTTCCCAGTCAGCCGCTTCTCAGACAGTCACAGCACTTTGCCGTTCACCCTGGAGATGTCCACCTTTGACAATCCCAAGGGGCAAGCCAAGACTTGTCAACAATAGCAAGCCACTACCAACCCCTCTCCAAGTATGCGACTATCCCAAAGGAGGTTGACTGCCTTTGCCCAATGGCTGTCAGTATGGCTCTGCATATCCGTTACCAGCTCCTCAGCATGATCCAGCTTGCTGAGCTTGCTCACTCACTGCGAGCACAGATCAACAACCTCAAGCTCAGTGTAAGTACCTTTTTTGCTGTTTTATATCTCATGCTAACATTTAAGACTTGCAGTCGCTCAATGACACTCACCGGATCAGCAACACGCTTGCGCGCCTCAACACCCCCAATGTACTCTTGATGACCTTGGGCAAGCATGACATGCCATGCGTACATCATCTCATCAGTGCTGCATGCCGTCATGGTGACAGTGTGCATGCAATCCTCAAGCATCTTGGCAAGGATGTCAAGATGGTCTACAAACCACGCGGGTATACTCAGGATGATCTAGAGATTGCAGACCTGATCTACTGCCTTGGCGGCAAGCAGCTCTTGGTTGCGCTTAACTGCCATCTTGGGCTCCTTTCTTGCTGCTTGCTCATCTGAAACTGCACTTTCATCAATCCCAACATGACTATTGGCACCATCAAACCATTGGGCTTTGTCAACATCATCCACAACATCATCCTGTCAACTCCCACTCCCACATTTTTTTGGCCACACCATCTGCATTAATGAGATTGTACTGCAGGAGAAGGCAGATTTCAACAGCAAGACGCAACAGGTCATTGGCATTTGTCACCAGCATGCTGACACTGTCAACCTCACTATCACAAATGCAGACTCCACCATCCGCATCGCTGAGAGCCTTGCCAAGGGCAATTGTCATCTTGGCAAGGAGGCTACGGTTATTGCAGTGCCTAACTGGGAAAACAACAGTATCCACCCAATTCTAGCTGCAGTGTCATGCAAATCTGAGACACCCGCTCAGATTGCAAACATCATGCAGACAGTTATCCACAGTTGGAACAAATCAGGTGCTCGCAACAAGGTTGGACCAATCTGGTCTGTTGCTAAGACGGCAATGCAACTTGGTGTTGTGGCTTCCATGACCACTTCTTCAAGCACAAACTTGACAAGCTCTGTGCAGTCAGCAAGCTCAGAGTTGTCTGCGGCACTGTCTACCTCATGTTCAGCCTGAACCACTTTGTCACGAATGACAGGATCACCATTGACTTTGACTACAAACACATTTTCAAGTGTGAGTCTTGTTCTCTTTCCTTACCTGCACAAGTTCTCATTACATTACTATAAGGCCTGTGTATGTTGATTCAATCACCCAGGGGTATCACACTGGACAGCAGCTACATCATCACCCCAGGCACACTCACAATTTATCTTTGTTGACTTCCCAATGAGAACAAAAAGAGTGTCACACAGCTCCTCTGGCCGGATGATCTACAAGATGTTCCACATGCAATCAAGTTACTTCGTGCTATCATTTCACTTGCAGACCTCAGACCTCCCACCAATGACCTTCAAGCTGCTATTGATCTTGCCTCTATCTGTCTCCTCAGCGCACTTTTCAAGTTTCTGCTTGATTCCTTCACTGACACATTGCTCACATTGTCTCAGCAAGTATCCTTGCTCTCTGTGTTCTCACATCTTGCATTCACTCTGTTCTGTCAGCACCGCTGTCAGTTCACTTTTTACCCTCTTTACTATGACTGTCAATCAATGGTCAAAAACTTTGCATTCTGTGTCATCAAACAGGGCCTCCTTGATCCCTTGCAACCAATCTGAATAGGCAACGCTGGCAATGATAAGCTCGAGGCACTCTTTGTGTTCCTCAGTTTACTCTAGTCTAATTGGATGCTGTCTGGCTGAGTGCGCACAAGCGTACAACATGCATGGGTGTTGCCAGCGCCACACAAGGTGCGCGTGTAGTTGTGCCTCCTGTACACACCAGCAAGCCCTCCTCGCTCCAGCAAACCCATCCTTGTGCCTGCGGTTTGCTCAGCAAGCCCATCTAGTTAGGGGTGGCAATCTCGAGACTGGGGCTGGAACCTGACAGGCACACTTGTTCCTGTTGCAATGGAGTTCCCATTGTGCCTGCCAACACTTCTTGTCATTGCCCCAGTTTTCATTTTCAGGTGCGAGGTGCCTGCTTTTTAGAACACAGGCAGGGCGCGGGAATCCCTCAGGTTGCTCATCCCCACACCCTGCCAGGTAAGCTTTTTCCAAGTGTTTGCTCTGCAGGCAATTACTCATTCCCACACCCTGCCAGAGCTCAAAGACACCCACCCTCCATCCCCCAGCATTGTGCCTCAACAGATCTCAAGCTATGTACCCAACTTGCCTTGTACTGCCTCGCTCTCCATGTATAATTATCAGAACAAGCACCTGTGATACACAATTTGTGCTTGGGCTCCTGGATTCTATTTGGCAAGCTGCCGCAGCTCTACCAATTTACAGTGTGACCAGCCACACTGGCAACGTATCCAATTAGATGATATTTGCTATTTACTCTAGTCTAATCCGGTCCAAACACTGGCATGGTTGGCATGCACTCTTGTCAGCGCCGCACACAATAATGCCAGTTGTACTGTTTGCAAATGCACAGTTTGCAGCTGCTACAACCCCGGTCTGCATCCAGCAGACGCAGATCACACTTCAAGAGGCACCCCATGCGGGACACTTTCCCAGGTGCATCACAAGCTGCACCCTGCGCCTCAGAGCACAACTTCTATATTCAAGGGCATAGGAGGCTTGCATTACACCTAAAAGACCCTCAGGCAATATGCAGGAGTGAGCGACCAATGGGTTGCTCACTCCCATGTATCACCAGGTAAGTGTTGTTTCTGGGTGACAGACTGGTTGCTCACGCCTGCATGCCACCAGTTTGTTTTTGCGCATCCCACCCCCTCAAGCTCCACCTATAGCTATGTTTCTCCTTATTCTATGTGTCCTACAGTCTGCTTTACCATGTTAACTTCATGTACCCCCTTTGTATCTCACAGTTAAATCAAAATATTTTGGTCATCTCACATGCACCATCAAAGCTAGTGGGGTTGGTAAGTTTGAATGCTTTGGTTACATATGACCCTTGTCCCATTCTAACATGTAAATCAGTCAGACTTCAGTATCTGCTTCCAAAAGCTTTTTGTTGTAGGTAGAACATCTACTGGCCATAAGTTTACATTTACCAGATGCAACTCAAGCTATATTGTCGCTCTCAGTCCCTTTCAGTCACACACTGTCAGAACAGTCATTCTGTGTTGCTGCGCATCACTATCAATCGGACCCATTTTCACTGGGATTGAAGCTCCAGCAAGAGCTTCCATACTGTACTTTTACAACCATTTGCTTGTCCCATTGTCAACACCGTGTCTGCCCAGGGAGAATCGGGACATTCAATCTGTGCTCCACTAGAGATACCGTGTCCTGGAGATGCTAGCGAAGGTATGAAGAAGTGTGGAGATGGACCAGAGGTGAACCAGAGATAATGAAGGTAAAGGAGATGCGTGTAGAAGCAAGGAGAAGATGCTAAGTACGGCGGAGTACGAAGGAGATGACAAATCAATGTCAAGTTGACTTGGAGTATGACTTGGATAGAGATGACAAGCACGAAAGAATATCAAAGGCCACAGGAATGTTGGGGCAGGAGTAAATCAATATTCATACTATCACAAGTTGAATGCTACCACTATTTATATTGTAAGTCCAGATCTTTGGATAAGCTCCGGATATCTACTGGCGTAAGTGTGGAGTATCATGAATAATCACCGAAGAAGACCAAAGGTTGTAAGTATACATAACATGACAGGTGTAACTGCGGAATAATGACAGGCGCAAAGTAATGACAGGTAGAATGTGGAGTGAGTTGGTCACAAGGAAATGTGCTGACTGATAATCCCCAAGAATGTTGGCATCTACTCCGTAGCTGCGAAGGTACCGAAGCAACACTGAAGGAGTGAACATGGACCGGAGATAGACCAGAATTGCATGAGTGTGACAACTATAGCTAATACTCTTTTTGAATAGGTGAAACATGGTACCTGTGATAATGCTCCAGACAATAACTCTATGCTTGAAACATTCAATTTACACTATGAAAAGAAGACAGGGAAGTAATTTAATGTTTTTAGATGTGTTAAGTGAACTTCACTCAGTTAACTATTATGACTATTCATACTTGATTTCTATCTGATTTCTTAGATGTTTAGCCCATGTAATCAATTTTGCTACTCAGGATTCAATTTTTACCCACACCAAAGCTCTTTTCTTCAATTCCACCAATCTTTTTGAGCTAGCAAAGGTAGCTCTGTTGACTGAGGATAAGGCTTAAGACAAAATTAGTCCAGTAATAAAATTTCTATGAAGATGAGCTTAAAATGGTCTACCACAATAATTACCTGGCTAATACCTTTGTAGTGCTCCCCTGCAAGAGAAAAGAGCTGTTCAAGATTATCCAGATCAGCATGAAAGTACCAGAATCTCAGACTCAACAATTACTGATTTATATGGAAGTAAATTTGTGGATATATAGGATGCACAAATATCTAGAATGCTTCACACACCTTCAGAAATAATAGAAATAAAGGCACACACTTCTACTCTGCATCAGTAGGCATGAGAGACTGTAGCTTCTTCTCTTTTGCTTGTTCAGCTCTTGAAGGACTACCTGAAATGCAAAACTATTTACATGCTAGAAAAACTCAAATAAGCATCATGTTTAAACAGTAAATGAACTCTACTCACAGTTTTATTGGTCTCTGCTCTATGGAGCATCTTATAGGTTGAAGACCAATAAAATATGCTTAATCTGCATAACATACATTTCCCTCTGAAAGCAAACTCACTCTCTATTTTGCTATTCCTGCACTTGAAACCCTCTATAGGACCTGGGAAACTAGAATGCAGCAAGTCAATTATGCTCAGCTTTTTTTTTGCTCTCTCCAAAGCCTGCAAGAAATTGACAAGTATTATCAGAAGACAATCAAATCAAATGTTTATTTAATGGCCATTGATGAGTCAAGGAGTCATACTGCCTACAAACACTTTATTTGATTTTTTACAGTGCTTGTTCCAAACCAAAAGCTGAAATATTTCAAAATATACTGGTCAAAGAAACCTGCAAAATGATTTAAAGGAAGAAATTGGGTCTGTGGCTTGTGTCTGACAGTGAATAGTGATTATTATTTTTAGTAGTTGATTCTCAGTCTCAGGACTATTTCTGTTCTGCCAGAAGTGTCAGAGACCTGTCTTCTAGAGATTCTAATACCAAGAAAGTCTCCCAGAACTGTTTAATCTCCCTCAGCAATAGTGGGGGGAAAAAAGGTTCTGCCTCATTTTTCTCTCACAATTCATTTTTACAATGACAGATTAAGTCCCACAACTGCTTGGATGGTAATCACACTTTGCCAAATAACATGACTATAATTCAGTGGTGGACAATAAGTCTTACTTTTATATATGTCTGTCATTGGGTTTTGACTGGTTTAATAGCATCATGCAGGGCAGTACTCCACTTGGACTGCAATAGCTTGTGACTATTTGTCTGTTATTACTTCTTCCATGTCTAGTGAGTGTGTATTTTATCTGGGGAAACTACTATCAGCAAGTAGTGCAATTGCCTTAAGGGAAACATTGTTGAGGCACTTCAGGTGCTGAAATGTGTTATTAAGAGTGACTTATTCCTCCAGGTGGCTGAAGAGGCTGAGGAGGAGCCAGAGACATTGAAAAATGAAGGAGAAAGTGAGGAGGAATGGAATACTGCTTTGTTAGAAACAGAAAGTAGTGACCTTTATGCTATTGACTCTGAGAACAATGAGGAGGAGTCTAGATGGTATTTGAAGAGGTTTTTACACTGCTGACTTAGTGCTTTTTGCCCTCTAATTGCATTACTTGCTGCAGAACTAATTGTAACTTAATTAATGTATAATAAAATGAATGCTAGTCAAAGTGTAGCATATCAGAAATAAGGAAATCAAATACACCCTTTGCCAATGGCTTGATCAAAGCCAAGACAGGGCCAAGCCAAAAACACCACTAGTACAGGTGCAGATTTAATGACAGGTGCATGTGATTGTTTAGGACCCTTCCATGTGGTGAGGACTGGCTGTTACTAAGCTCTGCCACCAAATAGAAGTATTCATTTCTTGCTGACTTGTACATATTTGCAGTGAATCCAGAGGAGGTGATTTTTCACCAGCTATAAACACTTTGATGTGTGCTTGAATTACAAATATATTAATTAGACAAATGTTGAACTGGGATCTGCACTGCAACAGCTACTAGGCTAAAAATACCATTTGGTGGCCAAGGCTCTAACAGGGTGAGGACCTTCTGCAACTTGGACAACAGCCTACCTGCTTCCCGCATCAAGGTTCTGCACCTTTCTGACCTTGCAGCCTGGGAGAAGATTGTGCGGGAGGTGTTTTACCACAAGCTATGCAGTAAATTTCATTTCTCTCCCATCAGCCCCAGCTTATGCTCTCAGCTTCAAGTGCCCAGTGTTGACAGGAACTTCTAGTCTCCCACCCAAGCAATGAAGAATTGGCCGACCCCTCTGCAATTGATAACAAAGACATTATAGGTAGCCTGGAAATGAAGGTTTTGAAATCAGTCATGAAGGAGGAGAATACCTACAAACAAATTCAACAGTCTCTGGAGTTGGATACTTTATTGTTTTATTGTAAGTCTTGCATTCTGTATGTACCACAGCTCACTAAGCTTCCTAGCTTCCACATTGATGACCGTGATCAAGCTGGTCATATCAAGCAGGTAGCTGGAGACTGGGAGCTTCAATATAACAACCTTACAGATGCATACCTTCAACATTGGCTGGACTCAGTATTATGTTCATACATGGACAAGGATGTTCTGATCAGGCCAGATGAGTTCAACATCTTGGTTGTTGATATATTCAGTACAGCTCTCATTCATATCAAGGTGAAACTAGTCACTCATTCTATATGTTAGGTAGGGACATTTTCTGGCTCAAAAATTTGTCAAAATTCACCAATGCCAGCCTTGTGCACCTTGGTTGTATAGGATGCAGCCCCATGCTCTCCTCTGTTGCTATCTCTATTTGCACTCTTGCCATGTACCATCAAACACATTGTGTTTGCCCCCACCTCACAATTTATGCTGAGGTAAAGGAGCTTTGTCACCTTCACCATGTAAGCCTGATTTGTCATCCTGCTTTCTATTCTACGCTAACATTTGCATTCATTTTAAGTACCATTTCACCATTATTTTGCTGATCAGTTCTGTGTTGGCTATAATGTATACCTTGAGGTCATCCAACATGTCAATGCCTACATTGACACCACTCTTGGCCACAACACTCTGCATTGGGGGATGAAGAATTCTTGCCCAGCTTGCCAGTGCCGGTGCAAGGGCAAGACCCCACTCCATTTCAGCATTCTCTGCACACTTGATGCAAACAACTTGCTCAACCTTGTTGATCAGGCATTCTGGCAGGGACACTCACAACCAGGCCTGAGGGATGCATGCTCAGACATATGAATCACTGAAGAGGAAGTGGACATGTTTAAAGACTCTGTTAAGGATTTGCATTGGCCTCACAACCATCAAACAATATTGGCTCCTTACTCCGCAGGCATTGGCAAATCCTGGTCTGACTTTCCTGACAGCGGAGATGACACTAAACCCACTGACATTTGTATTGACCACTGGTGTAACACCTCTCCTAAGGCTCACAAGAAGATGTTTGCTATATTCTCCAAGTCAGATGTTTTCATCACTGCCTGCCAACATGGTTTTCTCCTCACAATCTGCAACATGATCCACAGCAGTGAATTGTAAGTTCTTATTTTTGTTTTCACTGGTATTCTCAGCTCACATGGTCCAGGATGAAGTATCTGCTTGTGAGTATCAAGCACATGCTCAATGTTATTGGAGATGATAATTGCTTCAGCTATGACATTAAATGTCATTTTTGGCAGATTCTGATGAACACTTCACTAGGTCCTGAGGCTCATCTTTGTTATCTCCAGGATGTAGTCCCAGCATTCCACAGCCATGCCCAAAATTGGTACTGTTAGCTCAACCACCACTCCAAGTACATGGTGGCTGCCAGCATCAAGGACTTCAAAACTTGTGAACAATGTTTCTCTGATTCCAACAGGGTGGCACTGGAAACTCACTTCATGACTGACTTCTCCTGACATCAATCCATACAAGAACACTTCAAATTTGCTGACAAGGACCAATATGCTGCACTTTGTACATGGTTCTATTGGTTGCCATAAACCCCGCTGACATTGTGTGATTTCTACCAACAGCTAAGTTTATTGTTGATAACTACCATCAGTCAGTACAGAAAATTGCCAATACCAAGGCCGCTTTTTACCACATTGCCCCCAGCTCCCAGCTCACATCTGGGAGGTGTGGCCAGGGTTTTGGAGAAGGGCATACCTCTATGGCCTCCACATTGGCAACAATACTGAAAGTGCATATATTGATTATGTCCAAGCCCTCAACAAAATGGAGGATGCTCAGTAAGCTCTCTGTTATTCCATCATGTTTCAGACTTATTGTTTCTCAGGACCACATACAATTAGGCCCACACAACATTCTGACATGCCAATACAACCAAGAAGTTCATGCAGAAGCAAGTGTCAACTGTATGTCAGCTCCACACCAATGCCTCAAAGAAAGTCAAGTGCAAAACAAGTGCAAAACCAAGGTTGTAGAAGATTTTGAAAGCAAGCTTGAGCTCAAATGCTGGCTGCGCAATCATCCAGAACATGTCAAGTACCAGAGTCAAATCACTCATTGCAACTTCTATAAGGTTGCCAGGGATGTTGAGAGCTTGTTGTCATGTGTCTATTGGAGCTGACAAAACTGCAAATGAGTGGCTTAGGTATGTAATTGCAATCAATCTGCGCAGATGTACTTGTGTTAGCCTAGGTTATAAGATGTGTACACAGATCACCAAGGTGTTCAAGAGCCATGCCATTGCCACCCAGCACACTTTGGAGCAGTACAACAAGCTTGCAGACAAGATGAAGCCCCCATGTCTCCACCTCTTGTGGGACAACATTGTTGACTGTTTTTTCCTAGCTGGGTTTTCCCTACCTTGCAAGACAAACCTTGAGATCTTGGCTAAGTGGTGGGCCAATCCACCATGCTGCATGTTGGCAGCACAGCACTTTGACTCACACTGCGTGGAGAAGATCACACAGTGCAATGTTGAGATCCTTCAGTTACTCACTAAAATCTATGACGATCAAGTTGACATGCCCTTAGCCATTAAAAGAATCAACATGACTGATCTGGCATTGGCAACTGAAGCACAGTGATGTTGGCTGTACCTCCACCGCATGAATTTCTTGCCTGAATTTCTGACACCTTCAGCATCTATCTGCCCTTATGAATTTCCAAGTATTCATGCCCTCGTGCACCAGGTCAGCAAGTGGGCAAAAGTGTAACCAATGGAGAACCAGAAGCTTCAGGTAGCAAGGGTGTTGGAACATTTGGCAAGGATGCTAAGGCAGTCAAGGGTTGCAACGAGGGTATAGGGGCAGAGGCCAACAAGGGAGTTGTTGGAGATGTGGAGGGTCATGATCAAGCAGAGGCAGAGGAAGACAAGGTTGAGTGCTTGTATGCCATCTATTCAGCACTGGAAGAATACAATAGTTGTTCAAAAACAGTGTAGGATACCTTGCATAGCTTTCAAATACACATGATGATTTGAAATGAACAATTACACACCACATGGTATACTGAACATTTCAAACAGCTTGAGGTGTTTTCAACAAGTTGTGCAAATATGTAGCTGCTGGCAACTTCAGTGACTGCCAAAAAAAAAACCAGAAAAGGCTCTAATAATATATAAGTTGTTCTATGTACTATACAGAGGACATTGAGGTAGCTATTGTATTGTTCTTGAAGGGGAAATAAATTTACTTTGAGAATGTGTGTTGTTTAGACAAGATTGCATGCATGATTGACATATGCTCACCATGCAGCACAAGCAAACACAGATAAGCAGCCAATGCACATCCTGGCTTCACTCAGCACATATGCCACCTTGGTCTAATTCCCCCATCTTTCAATACCCCACTGTCAGCAGCCTTAGCAACTTCATTGAGACCCTCAACAGAAATGTACCAACTGATGATTGACAGACAAACTGTGGGCAAGAGCAGTGGGCAGCTCGGCTAATCACCATGCTCGCCCATGGGTTGCATGCAAACAACAACCACCTAGCATCTCTGGACACCTTCCACCCCCTTGCTGAGAGGTACTACGAGCCTCATAGGATGAACAATTTGGATGCTGTTGAATAAGATGGTACAATGTTAACAGCATGTTGAGTTGATAAAGAGAACAATACATGATCTAGTGCATTGATCTGTTCTGTGACCTTGCATGATCTGATGTCTAGCAGTGCACCACTCTCAATAGACTCACTAGAGGGACTTTCCTGTTTCTCCATCACCCAGGGGCCACCAATCCTGATGTTGATCTCAAGGTTGAGAATTTCAAAGCTGACATCTACGTTAGTCCTTGGCATTTGGTCATTTACCCTGAATATTCCATTGCAGTTGCCTCTATCATCCAGATCTTTCTTCAATCTATTGCTATGGAACAAGCTCAGCAATTTGGGGAAATATTTTAATGTTTTCATTGGCATCCAATGCCCTCCAACACCACATATTTCTCTTTATTTTTTCAACCAGCCTTCTCCCAGCCTTCTGTCAACTCTTATCACCCCATGAACAATAGCAAGGCTATTGTTTTTCTTCCCCCACTCTTGGAAGCTCACTCTACTTGGTTTATTGTTCCTGGTTGTCAGCTGAGACTTATGCAAGTTCTCTTCCTCCACTCAATCCCCTTCAGGACCTACTCTCTGACCCAAGATGCACCAGATGACTGGAAGCTGGTTATTGTTTGTGAACCCTTTCTGTCTTGCATACCTGCTCAATTGCTGGGTGAAGAGGCCCCACCCTTGACCCCAAAGCAAGTGCCTGAAAAGGTTCCTAGTGAAGCAATGGTGGGGCATCACCATCTTGGCAGAGGAAGGTTACCATACTCTCACCTGATAGTGTTGGTTGGTTTGGGTATTTGAGGCTTAGTGGAATGGTAGTTCAGTAGAGAGAGAACTTATTTTCCTACTATGCTAGTCCTAGGAATTACATACTAAGGAGAGTGATGTGGCAGTAACAACTGTACAGAACTAAGGAGCAATCCTATTGGATATCTAATGTAACTCAGTGATGTTATAGCTGAGTAATAGTCCAACCTATAGTCCGATGTTTTGGGTATTCATATATAATAACTATTCATAAGTAATTGTAAGTAATATGCTTAACACTCCTTCTCATCTAGTACTCCATCCAAGAATACAAAGATGCGAACTATCACTAGTCATTCACAACTTGCTATTAAATGCAAAAAAATGGGAACTGTGAAAGTCATTGATCACAGTGATTTGATAGAATAGATTTCCAGATCAAAGTGTTGTTGCAACTCCTGAATCTTCAGGTGTCCCAAGTTCTTGGTAAGAATGTCAGCCAGGTTGACTGTCCCCCTGATATACTCAAGTGTCACATCCTTGTCTGTTATGTGTTCATGGACAGAGTGGTATTTAACTCAGATGGACTTAGAGTTCTTTGTAATGATATGGTTCTGCCCATTGGCAATGGCACCCTGATTGTCAATGTGGATAGGAGTCAGTGTCAACTGTGGATAACCTATTTCTTCCAATAGTTGGTGCATCCAGAAAACTTTGGTGGCACATTTGCTGAGTGTCATGTACTCAGCTTTAACAGTGCTTTTGGCAACCGTGTTCTTCCTCTTGGAACTCCACAGCACAGCTGCTCCAGCAAGTTTCACCAATATGCCTGATGTCAATTTTGATGTTTGGAGATTGCCAGCATAATTAGCATCAGAGAAAGCATGCACTCCCTGACCAGAGGTTCCATCATATACCGAGGCATAATTCTGCATACCAATGAGTGCTAGCCACCATTGGCGACCCGCTTGTTTTAAACTATAAAGTGCTTTCATGAGGTGAAAGACCTCCCCATCATGTCCATGGTGGTCTTTCCCTGGTGGTGGCTCCATGTAGATCTCCTCATCCAGGTTGTTGTACAAGTAGGCATTGCATACGTTGAGGGCCTCAATGTGCCAGCCTTCTAACACTGCAAGTGCAAGCATAAGCTGTACTGTTTCCAAGTGTACTACTGGAGAAAAGGTCTGTTCATAGTCAATGTCTTCCAGTTGGGAGAAGCCTTTGGCTACTACTTGAGCCTTTTTGCGTCCATCTGACTTGATGTCATAGACCCAACAACTTTTCACCGCCTTCTTACCAGAAGGTAGCTTAGACCATTTAAGGACACCGTGACACCAGATTTTCTCCATTTCTGTATCTTTCTGCAACTTGCCACTTTTTTTGTTCATTAGGAGTTAGCTTAAGGGTGTCCTTATGATGCCATGAGCAAACAGCACATGGTTGTTGCGGCTTTGGAAGTGTCTCAATGGTGTTGGCAACTAGTGCCTGTAGTGTGAATGAAGTGTTATCTCCCCTTTCCCAACCTGGTTTGGCCTGTTGTCCTGCAACTTTTGTATGTGCAGAGAATGCAAGCAAGGTTTGCTTCCTCACCATCATCATCCTTGTCTTCATCATTGGTGGTAAATCCACCAGATGAGGAGCTAAACCCATTGCCATCTGGTGATGAAGGATTCACAAGGTCATCTACCTTATTGTCAGAATCCCTTCCTGCAAGAGTAGTACTAGGGCCACCCTGCCCAACCATCCTCTGCGGTGCATAACTAGGTCCAGGATTAGGTGAATTGCATTGTTCAGTACATCCACATGATGTTTGTTCATCTCAGCAAATCTTTCACCCTTGTTGCCTCACAGCATCCATAGGGTGTGTTTGTTCCCCGTAAATACTGCCAGGTTGATGAGGGACTGCCACTCTGCATGTACTTGGCTCACAGTGCAGAGGTAAAGGTGCTCTACTGCGGCCTCGACCTCCTGGCCGGCATACATTAGGAGCCCCATGGGTTATGTGTGGATTCGGTGCAATTGGTGCAGCAACTTCGGACAATCTCTCTTTGTTACTCCCATCTATTGGTGGTATGAGCCTACCGCTTCCGGAAGGATTATTAGGAGGTGGCCATGGATTCTGTGGTTGAGAAGTGCTAGGACCTGTATGTCTGACCTCATCATCATTATCAGAATTTCCCCCTGGACCACTGCACCCATTATCACAATTGTGGTCAATGTTATGGGTTTGTTCATGCAGTGCGTGGACTATCTCCTGAGTCTCCTTTGGACATCAAGGGAAATATTTTTCATCAAAGGTTGCATGGGTGGACAGTGTCAGTCATTCAGTTTTGGACATGAACTTCCATCCTTCCATGCCATGTGGGATGCCAACAAATGTCATGACTTCGGCTTTTGGCACTAATGTAAGGGGTGCTCGTTGATTGCGCATGGACCGTGCGCCCACCAATCACCACCCTTAGACCTGGATCATACTCTCATTGACTTGACCCCGCTTCAACCCTTATCACTTTGACAATACTTGTATTGACCCTGGGTGCTATGACCCTACACACCCTCTCGTTTTGCTTTGTTTCCCTTTGTTCTCCTTGGTTACTTTCCTTCTCTTTGTCCTTTGTGTTATTCACGCCTTGATCTGTACGTTCCTTACTTGTTTCTCTTTGACCCAGCCTCATCTCATAGATATATAAACACCCTTGCTGTTCTGTACTCAGACTCCAGTGAAATCCACCTATTCAAGCTCACTCATACCAAGAACCACCACTGTGAACCCCCGCTGCCATCTGCTGCTAGAGCCACTGTTATTGCCCCACAAAACACACAAGTACCTATGTTAGCGCCGATTAGATACATATCATGTCTCACATAGGGCAGAGCCCTCAGAGGACAATAAATGGATTTTTAAAAAAAATCTGCTGCTACCCGCCAACTATCCACCGTTAAACCCTTCCCCTTGTCTCCCGCACCTCTTCCTCATCTCCCATCAAACTCACCCTCAGCCTTACACTGATGAACTTTTACAGCACTCTTTGGGTACAAAGATGTATGCTGCACAGCTAAATACTATGAGTTGATTGATGTCAGGTAGTTTCTCAAATGCAGGTTTGAAGGGGGTTTGCCATTCAATACATTGCACAGGAGTTTGATTATACACATGACATGTGTGGCTGACCAAGTATTCCCACCAACTTTCTGGGATGCAGGTGTGATGACAAACATCAAGCAAAGAAATTTCTTGAGCTAGTGCATGCAGACTTAAAGGTTGCCTTGCTGGACAAGCCTTCAGTCTTGGGTTATAGAAATTTTGTGATTATTGTTGATGATTATTCATCTTTTGTTTGGATTTATCTTATAAAGAAAGAGTCACAAGTGATTGACTAGGTTTGCACTTGGCTACCCCAGGTCACCAAAGATCATTTGATAAAGCAATTCCATACTGATTCAGGGGCAGAATTCTCCTCAAATGCATTTCTAACACTTCTCAATGAACATGGCATTCAGCGCCTACTCTTGACACCATATGCTCATCAACAAAATGGGTGTGTGGAGTACACTATTCAGACAATCTGGTCCAATGCAGAAGCCATGTGTCCTTGGGGAAGGAACATTTTTCATCTTCCCCTTGGTGCAGCCATCACAAGGAGAATTATCCTTGGGTGCAGATACACAAAGGTTATATCCTTTGATGTGCTTAGCTAGATGCTGAATGGCTTTGCTTCACACATGTCCAAACCATTGGTGAACAATTGCATAGTCAGTCGTACTGACAGCTGCAAGGGTGCACAATTTGATATTCTCATGCAACCAGAGCCCATAGATTGTATCATCTGTACTTCTCTATGGACAATAGAGGATTTCCTCACCATTACTACTCAAACCTACTGCAGTGTTTTTTCATTCATTTTGATCTGTAAGCCTTTGCTTAGGAGATGACCAGCAGATAGTAATCAAGAGTTAAAATAAGCTACATAGTAGACTGGATAGAGACAATTTGTAGTGCTCCTGCCTGCTGAGTCATTGTGCTTAAGTAGAATGGTGCCAACTGCTTGTATTTCAGCTTTGCCTTGCAGTGACTTTACCTCAGTACGCTCATTCTTAGGAATCATGCAATATGTGAGGATGTTGTTTAGACTGCAGGTAAAATGTTTGCTAGCACCAGAGTTGAAAGTCCAAAAGACTCGGCCTGATTTATTATTGTTGTAATTACACCTTGCACAGTATGCAGTCAAGTTGCGTTCATTATATTGTACAGTGTCTTGTGCAGTGACTGTACTACTGAGTACAATTACACTATGTCCATTATCATACTGTGACAATTTGTGACGACCAGTTTGCAATGAGTGAGGAAGGACGTACTCATCAATCTCATCCTTTTTGTCTGCTATGCAAATGTTGTTATCATCACTTATGACAATCTTGGCCCACCGTGCCTTTGGCCTTGACCCTGGGTACCTCTGCCTTGGAGGACTCTGTCAACTTGGGAGGTTAACCGCCTTGTTGCCATGATGTTGTGTTGTGCCGCCTCGAGGTTGTTCAGCGCTGACTGGAATTCTGTCATGAGGCACTGGTGATCCAAGTGAGATGGTGTCCTCGTCAAGCTCCTGGTGTTGGGGTCCCTCCCCTGCTTGTTCGGACTTGGGCAAATGACACCCTGCCCTTGTCCTGTTGGGCAGCATCAATCCCGAGGGTCTGTTCCAAAGGTGGTTTGCTAACATTGGTTGGTTGTCCCTTAGGGTGCCATTCTCTATCTGAAGTGCTGGCTGGAATAGTTGATGGGGGTTGACCATTAGCTCAAGATTCTCCAAAGGAGACCTCTGGCGTGAGGCAGCATTTGACAATGTTAGTAGTGATCTGTGTTTGTGTTTGTTTGCCGCTCTTCCATCAGATGTTCTGCTAGATCCAACAGGTCCTTCCGCTTTCCTCTTCAAAAAGTTTTGAATGAGTTGGGTGGTAATTAGTAGCTGAGCAGACTGAGGATTACAACTTGGCACTGAACAATCTGAGGAGTGGGCAGTAGCTGGTGTATGTGTTTAGACAGATGTTGCATTCCAAGCAGTTATATCATGTGTTAAGCCTTGAGCACATTATAATTGATTAAATTGGCAGCAACATCATCAGACATGGAACTTTGAGATGCATTGGCAAATTGCTGGTGGTATAACTAAGAAGCAATGTTAGGACACCAAACTGAGATTGGTGAGATGTTTATGCACTAGAATGTTGGCCTGCACAATACTTTGCCTATACAAATTTGGCACTTTAGCAAGGTTCTGCCCCATCTGTAGACCTATAGTTGCAGTTGATGCGGGATCTCATGAAACATTATAATGAAACAACTGTGGTGACAGTCAGCTACTGTAATGATCACAAAAGTGAATCCTTGTACTGCATGGTGCTGAGGGACAGGGATTGCATACTCAATCCAATTTGGATAAAGTAGACTAGTGGAAGCCTGAAGGGGGAGATCTAATGCTCTGGGTGCATCCACCAGCATAGATTCAATGTCTTATCAGAGTATTTATAAAGTTGGATATTCATGCAATTGGCTGACTCACTTGCTCTAAAGCAAAATTTATATGGTCTATAGGGTAAGGCTGCAAGCAGCTTGAAGGAGAATCTGTTTGCTGAGGCTTTAAACCAGTTGCAGAATTCATCTGAAGCAGTTGAAGAGCTCCTACAAAGCTGTCAGCATGTTGCAGTGAATCCTTGGCACTGGTGTAATCAGCTTGATCAGGCAACAATGGATGTGAATTGCAAGCATCAGGTTGGTTGTGTCCTGTGGAAGGGGTGTTATCACCTCAAAAGTCATCTAAAGTAGATACAGAGAGTGAACAGATTGCTTTGTGTAAGTTTTTAGGTAGCCGGAGGAGCATCAACTGGGAGAGTGCCAATCTGAGCCACCAGGTTAGATATGAAGTTTTTAACCACCAAATACCACATACTGAGCAGCTGACTGCTTGAGTAGCACAAACATTTGTGGGAAGCACATGTATGTGGGGGTAAAGTTGCAGAACATCAGTCAGAACTTGGACATATGGATGGTGACACTCCACCAAAGGGATAGCATTGTGCAAGGGTAGTGCAGGTTGACCTGGTTGACGTGAAAAGAGTGCAGTGCATACTTGTGCACTAAAATTGTTCCATTGTACATTTGAATACAGTGGAAATCCATAGTTTGAAATATCCCAATTTGCATTGGATGACATATGAGCAAAAAATTGTAATGTTGAGGAGGGGTCTATATAACAATGACCACCACTGGCAGGTGGCCCTTCAATATGTTGAGTATTGTTGGAAGGATGCATGATGAGAATGTACCAATGATTTTTCAAAGTTTACAAGAGGCAGCAAGAGGCTTTCCTATTGTCAAAAACACCTCTTGCTAGCCCTAACTTGGACAAACAACACATTACTCATCGCATTCATTTTTGACATGGCCAGGCTTTGGTCTTATCTATGACATAAGCAGGCACATGACCAAGCACATTGTGGGTCTGGACCATGACATCATATGATGCAAGGATCATGCAATATGGCATGCTTGTATTACTAAGTACTTGTATTCCTAATTAAGCAGGAGCCCTACCTTTAGGTATATGGTCTGTGCGCAGCTGTCCAGTAGTATATAAGACTGTGATTGATGACCCAGAACTCCAAGAGAGCTCCTTTGGGATTTCCCCTTAACTCTGTTCATAAACCTAAGTCTCAAGTCCTCCTGTCAAGGTGTCTACTTCTGCCCAAGCCCCATCTATGGTTAGGGTTAGTCCTTCTCATCATCATCACTCCTTGTTTGCATGTGCAGTGACTCCCCTAGTTAAAGGTCGCTCACACCTATCTGCAAAATAACAGGTATATAAGCAAGTGTCTGACCTATGCACTATTAGGTGGGAATTGCTAACATGGAGTGGAGTGTGCTGGATCAGTCCAAAACCTGCGCAAGGTCAACAACATGTACTACTTATGTTATTGGTTTTTTGCCAAGCAGTCAGGGTAGACCAGGGCCAACAGCTAAATAGTTTTATTGACCTGGGTTTTGAAACTATGTAACAGAGATAGAGATACATGAAGGCTACTCTACAAGCAAAAACAAATGCCAAATGATATGAATTGTCTGTTGAGAAAAAAACCCCTTTGCAAAACAAGCTGCTATGTACACCAGAAATGCTTGTGATTGTCAGATAATGCTATAGGATGGATAAGTGAAAATTGCAAGGGACACTTAATCAACCTACACACCTGTATAGACTAGGTTGGTACAAGATAGAACACAGCTGAAAGAAAGGGGTTGAAAAGTGGGTGTCAGCGAGGGCAATCTCATGAATGTTAACCTTCTCAATCTTCAAATTGCAGAGAACCTCCTCAACAGGCTCAAGGGTGCTACAGAGCAAGTCCTGGCATAATTCCTCAAAGCAGGCACAAACATGTAGAAGTAAATGCCCTCAAAGAGCAAGTCAATCTTGAGGGTAACCTAAGTTACAGACAATAGTGCATACTTGGCACATTCACAAGCACTGCACAGACAATAGAGAGCACAAGAGTTGGATCTAGGGAATAGGCTAAGTAGCTAGAGTAGACATGAAAGAAGGTGTGATTAAACATACCAATAGGCTCCCACTTTCCCATGAATTGCTTTTCCTCTACTTCTGCCTTGCTTTTCCCTGCCCTCTTCCTGTCTGTCATTGACAATTCTACTTGTATTCCCTGTGTCATGGAGCACATGTCCAATGCCTTCAATGACAAGGAGCCTAAGAAATACATTACTCCCAACAAGGCAATCAATCACCTACAGTGCTACCATCCAGGCTGATATCCTCACTGGCAACACTTCTCAAATAAACTCACTCAAAAGTCTCCAATCACTGCAAACAATTCATGGTAATTAGCCCAAAATACTTGAAAAAACTGTAAACATCAAGTTGAACTGTTCTTGATTAATCCTTTATTACTATAAAGACTACTTTGAATAGAAGCTCTGGCAATCATGATAAGGAGTAAGCAATTACTTGAAGAGTAATTGAGAATGTAATTGCTTACTCCTTATCATGATTGCCAGAGCTTCTATTCAAAGTAGTCTTTATAGTAATAAAGGATTAATCAGGAGCTTCCTTTCTCAGCAACCACCATCTGCCTGGTTTGGCACCCTGAGGACCCCAAATCCGTCATCCTCACCGAACCTAGCATAGTTTCTGTGGAATTGCACAAAGGAATAGAACAACCATTACTATACTTATAACTTCACAAACCACCCCCTCCGTAATATGGGCAGACAACAAGCCCTGCCGACATGGCGCTGGTACCACCGGAGCACAACAAACCGCCCTCGGACACGTGCAGCACAAGAAACTTGACTGAACTACGCCCCGTCTCGACCTCGACCCCTACCTTGGTTGCTGCACCACGCCCAGCAAAGGAAATCATGGAGAAACCCACCAACCCGTCAAAAGTGAAGAACCACGCGGACACAATGGCTCTCCTGGCCCACTCTCTACCGAAGCCCCCAATCAAAGGACACACAATTAACACACTCAACCAGAGCTTGCTCGAGTACGTAGAGAGTACCACAGGCCTGCCCCAAGACACCCCCAATGTTGTCAGGGCATATGCTATCCTCATCTGCCAAGTCAAAGCCAAAGAACAGTCAGCAGCTTTCTTGGAGGTTTGGAGGGAACGCATGGAAAAAGGTGCAGCAGCCCCCCTGGCACTCCTCCGCAAGGCAAGCGCAGCGGCACACAACATCATGTCAGTGAACAAGGATGCTAAGATCGCCCTGGTTGATGCCACTGCGACCTTCCAGGCGGAACACGAGAAGTTCCAGGCGGCGGCAAAGATGTTCACAGAGGGTTTCAAGACAGCTGCCCCGACCGAACGCAGTGCACCTGCTCCACACCCTCTCAACTATGTGGCCGCAGTCAAGACAACACGCCCACCCCAGGAACAAGCCTGAGCCCTGGCAAGAAGAAATGCGATCTTGAAGAGTGTGCTCGTGGCGCAAACAAAGGAGCCAGGCTCAGACTGGAAGAGCATGGAGGAAGCGGTACTAGTGGAGAAGGCGAGCACGGTGCTGGATAATGTGAGGGCAAAAGGGAGAATAGAACTGCAAGGTGTGTCTGTCACCACCGCTAAGAAGCTGACCAGTGGGGATGTGTCCTTTACCATGTCCACTGCCGACGTGGCGGAGCTGGTGAATTCCGAGGAGGTCTGCAAGGAATTTGCGGCAGGTTTTGTGCCCAATGCACACATCAAACCTCCCACTTTCCTAGTCATCACAGAGTTTGTACCCACATCTTTCGAACCCAGTTTGAAGGACAGGCTTGAAGAGGTACTCATCAGCGCGGGCATGCCCACCTCCGCCATCACCTGGGCAGAGTGGATCAAGAGAGTCAGCAAGCGCAAGCCAGGCCAACAAACAGCCCACCTCAAGATGGTGTTCACATCCACAGCGACCGCCAACCGGGCCATCGAGGAGGGTTTGATGATTGAGGGGCATCGCGTGTACTCATGGAAGTCCCTCCCTGAACCCCCTTGGTGCTTCAAGTGCCAGTCCACAACAGGAGCCCATCTGGCAGCCACATGCCTGGCAGCGGAGTGGACGTGCGCGTCCTGCGCAGGCCCCCATTGCACCAACCAGTGCAACACCAAAGAAGGGGCAGTCCCGTGATGCACAAACTGCCTCAAGGCAGGAGGACCACACAACCATCATGCCTCTGACTGGTGATGCCCGGTCACCAAAACCAACTGCGAGTGCTACCAATGTGCACATCCAGAAGCTCAATTCTGACTCTTCCCAACAGACGACCCCTCCACCTGGGAGAGACTCGATGCTCCGGAGGGCTTGACTGACCCTGCCACTACCGTGCACACCCCCGCTGACTTTCCACCCATTCTGTCCCATGAGCCCGCCCCGCAACCGGCCCTGCTCTCAGCGCTGAACAAGCCTAGGCAACCCAAACCAAAGGCCAGCACCATTCCCAGACCGACAACATCCTCCACGCTGACAACCCTGATGCTGGCAATGATGCAGTCACCACCACCGGCGCCGCAAAAACTGGCCAAGAAGTTGTGGGGAGCCGCAGAGAAGGCAGGCACGAAACACATCTGCATGGGACGCGAAGCCCCACCTCACCAAACCCTCCCGGCTATGTTCTCATGCTCACAAACCCCTTCTGTGGCAGGTGGCCCCTCAGAGTTTGGTGACATATCCGATGGACTAGCAGCCGACAAGACTTGGAGCACAGCATATGAGGGGTCGGGTACCCCATGCGGAACCACTGACTTATGACACGCCCCACCGCGCCAAAACTGACATCACTCACTCTCTGGCAGCAGAACATGAACAAGTCCGACAAGGGCCAGAGGGAGTGGCTGAACTTTCTGGACCCCCGCAAATACACCATTGCAGCTATCCAAGAACCAGGGCTCAACTCCTTCACTAAACTTACTCCGGCAGGATCACACTGGACTGCGGTATACCCGCCCACACACCACGCCAGCAGTGGCGGCCACACCAGGTCGATCATGCTGGTCAGCAATGACCTCCTGTCCAAAATGCACTGGAATATCTAAGTCCCTGTCCCACACCACAATATCACGGCAATAGATGTGGATATGGGCTCAGGTATTATTCAATTTTACAATTTATACATAGACAGAACCCATGAGGGGTGCTGGATGCTCTTGAGGCTCACCTCCAGGCAGAGGAAGAACAAGACCCCACACCATCTGCACTGGCACCCGACCACATGGTCTGGCTGGGAGATTTCAACTGTCACCACCCCCTGTGGGACAATGCAGCTAATGACCATCTCTTCACAGCTTCGAGCCTCCGTGCAGCGGACTGCCTGGTGGCAGCGCTTGCGGACATGGAGATGGCTCTTCCCCAGGGCATACCCACACTAGAAGCATCATCAACAAGCAACTACACTCACCCCGACAACGTCTTCTGCAATGCAGAGATCATTGACCTGTTTACCGAGTGCAATGTGCACCCGGAGTTGCATCCCATAGAAACGGACCATCTACCTATCATCAGTTGTCTCCGTGTCGAGGCCATGGCAGCACACCCCATCTTGCATCGCAACTTCAGGGCAACAGACTGGGACGAGCTCTGTAAGGAGCTTCGCACTTGGCTCCATCTTTTGCCCCCACCTGAAATGATTGCTGATGAAGACCGCTTTTACAGATACTTTGACCTTGTCACAGGGGCGATCCAAGCAGCAGTAGCAGCCGCGGTCCCCCTCGCAAAAGTCTCACCATTCACGTGCAGATGGTGGAATGCGGACCTAACTGCACTGCAGATGGTGTACCGCCGGTTGCGGGGCAAGGCCTTCTGCTGACGTGCTCGATGCAATGACCTGATCCACGAGGAGTGCGCCCACACGCACACCACGTATTCCGATGCAATTGACACTGCAAAGTGGGTGCATTGGGAGGAATGGCTTGAATGCGTTGATGCTGACTCTATATGGACAGGTCACCGATACGTCAGCCAACCCCCCTCGGACAGGAGCTACCAGCAAATCCCCACACTGGTTGACACAACGGACGACAGTGCGCAAGTGCCGGTGAATGACAACAAAACAAAGAGCGACCTGCTCTATTGCACTTTCTTCCCGGCACCGCCACCGCCAGCTCCGCCCTCCCAGGTGCCAGCACCCAACCCTCCCGAGTTGCCCTTGGAGTTCTCCCCGATCACTGATTCCCAGATAAGACGGGCGATCCGGAGGCTCCACCTGTACAAGGCTCCGGGCCCGAATGGGGCGAATGCGGTATTCACACACACTGAGGATGAACTGGTGCCTTACCTGGGCCCCCTCTTTCATGCCACCTTCTTGCTTGAGGTTTATCCCACCGAGTGGAAGAGACACACTACCATTGTGCTGCGAAAGCCGGGTTGCCCAGACTACTCATTGGCAAAGGTGTACAGACCCATTGCACTGTTGGACACGCTCGCAAAACTCCTTTTGTTCTGCATGGCGGAGGATCTTGTCTACCTGCTTGAGACTCACAACCTTCTCCCAGCCAACCACTTTGGTGGACAGCCGGGACACACAACATCAGATTCACTCCACCTCATGAGCAAGTTCATACATGACGCATGGGCACACCAGTCTGAGCACTTCATCTCGGCCCTCTTCCTGGACATGAAGGGAGCCTTTCCTAGCATCCATGTTGACAGGCTCCTCAGTGACCTGTCCGACAAGGGAATTCTGGCTGAGTACGTGGTGTGGCTATGTCAACGATTGACAGGTCGGGTAACCTGCCTGGCCTTTGATGACTACATGTCCCCTGACTTCTCCATACAAGGCGGCCTTGACCAGGGCTGCCCACTCTCTCCCATTCTGTACATTTTATATAACTTGCCCCTCCTCACCTTGCCTGACGCTAAGAACGGTGAGGCGGGGTTGGGATTCATTGACAACATTGCCTTTTTAGCGTGGGGCACCACCATCAACCAGGCCAACAACAAACTCCAACAACTGATGGAGAAGCAAGGGTGCACTCGAGTGGGGCACGATGCACACATCCCAATTTGAGCTAGACAAGACCACACTATTGTGCCTCACTCGCCACACCATACCACATGCCTCAATGCCCCACACTCGCATCCCTTACCCACACCCATCGATCACAATCGGTGGCCATGAGATCCAGCCCACCTTGTCCCACAAGTTCCTGGGCATCATTATTGATGACCAATTACGTTGGAAAGAACACGCCACACACGCACTTGGTAAGGGCATGAAATATGTCCTTGCCTACAGTAGATTAGCAAACGCTGGTAAGGGTATCTGGGCCGCTTTCATTCGAAGACTCTATATTTCCATTGTTATACCAAAACTACTATATGCCGCTGATGTGTGGGCTACCACTTCCCTAGCGCAGGGCAATGGGCTAGCAAAGGACCAGGACGCCACAGAACAGCAGGATTCACAGGAACAACCACAGGCACTGCGCCCCCAGCGCATGCGAGGGGTGGCTTGCTCCCTCCCACAGGTACAAAGGATCGCCTCACACCAAACCACAGGTGGAATAGGCACTACCACCACCAACGTATTAGACTACCACGCCCACCTCCTCCCATTTCCTCTCCTTCTTGAACAAACCTGTGCCAGGGCGACTCTACACCTCGTCACCCTACCACCATCACATCCGCTCCACCGTCATGTCGCACAAGCAGCCCAAAAATGCAGACACCACCGCTCTCCACTCCACAACTTACTCCGCCACTTCAAGCTCCACCCCCGGGACTTCAAGGTCATAGTGGCCATCCAACGTGACCCGCAATGGGAACCTGCACATGCCATTGTCATCCCCAAAGACAAGGACACAGTGACCCAAGAACACGCCAACGACAAGGCTGCCATACGGGTGTACTCCGATGGGTCCGCACGCAATGGAGGGGTGGGAGCTGCTGCAGTCATGATCCAAGGCGCGAGGGTTTGCCAGTTGAAGTTCCACCTCAGGCCAACCACTCGCCACACCGTCTATGAGGCAGAGCTGGTTGGCTTACTCCTCGCCACCCACCTCTTAAAAACCAAACTCACAAGGAAGAGGGGCACATCTTTCATAGGGGCGGACAGTCTGGCAGCCATACTGGCAACCAAAGGGCGCACCTCCACACCGGGACGTTACCTGGCCAACGCAGTATCGCAGGCCTTTGACAAACTGGTGGATGACAGACACAATATCTGCCTACGGTGGATGCCAGGTCATGTAGGAATCAACGGAAACGAGAGGGCAGATGAAGCTGCGAAGCTCGCTGCCAAGGGAACCTCAAGTCACCCCAGCCACCTCCCCCAGTTCCTGGTCAAGCGGAAGTGGAAGACCTGCCCCGCCTCTGCCAGAACCCTCTCAGCCAGCTGCTCCGTGGCAAAACAGGCAATCAATGCTGCCATAGCCAAGAAGGCGGTCGCCATCATGGAGCGCTCCCCCAGGGTGTCCGTTATCACCAAATATGACACCGCGTTCAAATACTCACAATTCATGACCTCCATCAATGACCTTCCTCGGCAACCAGCAGTGACGCTGTTCCGACTACACGCCTGGCACATAGAACTCAACTCGCACTTGGTGAAGATCATCCCCGGTGTTGAGAAGGACTGCCCCCACTGCGGTGAACCTAAAACAGTTGTCCACTTCCTGCTGCGCTGCCCTCACTGCCGCTCCCAATGCGCGCGCCTCGCACACCGCTTCCGCTGGCTCCAGATCCCCCCCATAGGCAAACTCCTAGGTGCCCCCAACAACTGCAGCACCCTCCTTGACTACGTCAACGCCACCAGTTGGTTCATAAAACCTGCCCCCCACGTCCTGTCCAGCTAGCCCATGCCCTCGCCCCACACGTCAGGTAACTTTTCTTTCTTTCATAGCACCCTCACTCCCATCATGAACACATTCTCCTTTGCACATTACCCCTCACCATTGTTTTATTCAACTGCCTTCCCTCTTTTTATGCGAGGACCCTCCCGCTTCCCCCCACCTTGGCTGTTCACTTGAAACAATTGGATTAGAACTCCCTCCCCTCCTTCACACTCTCTTCGTCCACGCCCGCTCCCACTACACCTTCCCATACATTCTCCACGCCTAATCCTAAAACATATCACCACCTACTATACTTTAACCACTCCTCCTACA